TGCTACTGGCATATTTTAGATTCTGTATTCACTTAAATACACCATGCTGCATCCGCTTTAAGTAAAATATTTCAGCACTGTTGGGAGATGTTCCAACGGGGATGCAAAATGACTCAATCCCAGCCCGATGTGTCGCTGGTAGATTGACATGCTGTGGTTTTAACCAGCTGCCTTCCCAGCTGTCCCAGGCTTCCTGTTCCTGAGCCAGAAGCTCATACAGCTGTCAGAGAGGCAGAAACCAGGAGCAGCGAGGTGGTTGCAGCATTCAGCCTGAAGGTCTGTGTGGGGCTTATCAAATGGTTGAATACCTGATGTGTTTGTTATTGACATGATCAACACATAATAACAAAGTTTCATTCCTATAAAAAACACTTGGTTTATACTCTAACCACATATTCATGTATAAATATAAATATATTCTTTGAAACGTATATACTTATAAGCTACCTTTGTAATACACATGATTGTTAAGTTTGTCAGAGGCCTGCAGGTGTTTCCACTCAGATTCATGAGACCTGGAAAATACATTTTTATAGTGTAGCTCGTCCATCAACATGTAGGCTGCTACGCAATCTTAACTGACCCCCAGTTCTTTTTTTTTGCACCATCATCTGCCTGAGGTGCAGTTTGCCACTCCTGCTGTGGCACCACCAATCCCAGCATCCGTCCTGGCTCCAGACGTTGCCTTCTGAAGCCCACCTCCACTCCCTCCCTCCTGCAGATGAGGCTGCATTGCACATCTGTGAGAGCAGATATGGTGGCCTGCAGGCTGTGTTCTGTCTAGCTGGCCACCATCCCTGGGGCCTCCAGGGCCGGCTCTGGTTATCAGACCCAGAAGCTGGGCAAGCTGAGCCAGAGCTGACCCAGGCCCGAGGGTGATGCTGCTGCTGGACGTCAGGCTCAGTAGCAGTTCTGCTGGCCGGGTCAGGATACGGTTCAAAGGTCGAGGCCGTGTTTAGGGCTGATGTACCGAGCTGCTGCAGCTGATCGGCCTCTCTCTCCCTCAGGCCTCAGTACAGCTGATCTATACGCCGAGGGACACGTTAGCAACACTAGCACTCTTATTCATATAAAACACAGCAGACATCATTGCTGCTTCTCTCGCTATCCTGGCTTGACCGTGCATAAGACCAACAAACCCCTTGCTTTGGGGGAGTGTTGTTCTCGTGGCTCGGTGTGGGGGTGGCGGTGTTGAAAGTATATCGATCTCCAGGGCTGAGCTTTCGACTCAGGGGTAATGCTCTAAGCAAACAAAGGCAGTGTGTTTTTAACTTCTTAGAATTTGACCAGCAGTGAATGTTTGAGTATTTGTGGGCAGAGAGGACAGAGAATACTCACCCGACCCCCAACTTAATACACTTTCTCTTCAACGTTGATTTTGAAGACTTATGCAACTAATGCATGCTTCTGTTTCGCTCTGTTGTCACTGTGATATTCCAAAAGGCATTACCTAATAGTCCAAACTGCTTAAAATGACAACATCTATCTGTTTATGAGTGGATCACACGCACACACATCAAGCAGCTGCTTTATTGTTTGTATCAGATGGTCACAAAAATATGACGGAGAAAGCCTGTGGTGAAAATCAGCTTGAACTCGGGCAGCGTCTGAGATGGAGACAATAAAGCGGTCCACACTCAGCCATAAGTGACACAGTGAGAGTCTGTGAAATGCCAAAGTGCTCATTAAGTATTATCAGCTTAATCTTCACTTGTCAATACAGCTTCTAATTAAACAGCAGGTCACATGGGATCTTCAGCAGGCAACAGGATGCTGTGTAGACAGTTTGTCCAATAAGAAGGTCGCTGCGATGCTGCAGCGCCACCGTGTGGTCGGTTTTGTC